AATGGTAATTTAGATGAGCGTTTTGCTGATACGGTTTTAGGGCACATAACACACAGCAGTACATATCCAAAAAGCTAACAACGAAGTTCCAGAAAACAATAGGTAAACACTTGGAAGCGCGAATTTTGAAAAACGTACCTAATTTAATGTTACTTGTCGGAGAATATGTAAAGGTTGTTCGTGGCAGCCAATGCAATTATGTTCTCCTTTGGGTGCCATGCTGTATGCAAAATTTTTCGCGTGAAGTCAAGCGAATCCGCGGCCAATTCATCATCATTAGCCTAGGAGAAAAATCCAAGATAGCTAGCTCGTGTGTCGTTCCCTCAAGTGGACAGCAAACTTACATCTCCTCCTCCTACGCCTCGGCGAGCCCTCTGGGCGCGTGCATTTGCTCCTGCACACACCCGTCGTGTTCGTAGCAACGAATGTGGTTCCTGTGGTCTTGCCTCCCACGTCTTTGCTTCCGTTGAGCCGCGAGCATAGGTGCGGAACAAATTATGGTACGAACCCGTCAGTATGTGCCTGTAATAAGCCATAATTGATAGGTCTTCTAGAAAAAGGTCCACATTCATTGCGTGGTAGATCTCCCTATGACGTCTACAAATAAATGAGAATTTAAGCAGATCATGAATACTGATAATGACAACCACAAAGATACAAAAAATGACATGATTTCAAGATAGAGCAGTTTGCTGAGTTAGTCAGCAGCAAAAAAATGAATGGTCACTTGTCCCCTATGTTGCTTCATTTTCATCGTAAATAGGCCACAATCTCCACTGTGTTCTCTATCACAATTCAAAACAAATCGGAGGCTTTAGCCATTTTCGTCGTACAAAATCGCTGTTCATTTAATCATATTGCCATATCAGCCAAGATTTTTAGAATGGAAAGATGGATCGGTGATAATCTCCTTGCTATTTTAATCTGAGTGGATTAACCAGCTCAGAATCAATAGGATGACTAATACAGACTGCCACTAGGAACGCAAAAACATAAGAAGCTTAACAAATTACTTTCAAGTTCGATGAGATGATGTGCAACAGCAAACTTAAGGTTCTACTTTCGGAAACTTCCTATTGCAAAAGCAAATAGGAGAAGTCTTGGAAAACAGGTTTCGTAAAACTAGCGTTTACTTGCCATTTAAACGTGTTTTGTTGTTACTATTTTTGACCTTATTGACTGAAGCTTTAAAAAAGGAACAATTTCATTCAAATTCAATCCTGCCAACCTAAAGCTCGTCTCGTAATTATAAGTAGAAAACCTTACTTGTCACTTATACCAATTCTACCAATAAATACAACCATTTTTGGAAGCTAAAACAAAAAGGTGACCCCCAAAAATTTTCGAGGTCTAATGTGATGAGGAAAAAGGAAA